TTCCCTTGATTGTCTCACTCAAAACACATGGAGGTTCCATTCCTGTGCTGTGACGTTTTGGCAGTGAACCATTATATCTGCAAATTGATCTTTTTAAGAATCATAACTTATAATTTTTGATAACTCTTTCAATCATTGAAATTTAATTCTAAACTAATTTTATGAGATCATAAGTCTGAGATACGCAGCAGACGGCCAGTTGACAGAGTGACTGGCCCCTTTCGAGTCTTTATTCCAGGTCACAAACGACCAGTGGATTCTCTTCCTGTTGCTGTCATGTGGTGAATGTTTGATGGTTTCCATTCCATGTGCTTTGTACGTATCAGTTGTGCGCATCCCATTGTAAGTAAGTTACAGCACAGAGCTTTAGCCCCAGGCGTGGGCGAAGCTTACATTAGCCATGCATCTGAGCCTTGCTAGCTCTCCATGTGCCGAGCAGGTATTACACTAAGCATCGCAGAGTCCCAGAGACGTCTGTTTTTGAAGGCCCGCTGAGTGATTGGTGGGATATGTATTGCCCTACAGTGAGAGGCTCCACTCCGTAAAGGCGCTCGGCAGTAATCGCTGAGTTAATCCCGCCCCGGTTGAAGTCGTATTGACGTTGTGAAGACACCGTGTGAAGTGTGTGAATGTTTACACAAGGAATATAAGTGAACACTGCATTTACACGCTCACACACACATAAACATCTGGTGGACATACTATACTGATGCTTCAGTGGCAAAAAGGCGAGTGGGACATTTATCTGCCTCATCTCTTTCATGTGTGTAGGTGTGTATACACTGTACGCTCCAGTTTTGTTATTCACACACATGCAATGGTAGAAAATGAGCTGTTATCTGTCAAGATCTATCAAACCTGATGTTTTCCTTTAACTGTACATTGAGCAAACAAAATGAAACCTGTTTTTAAAGGGTGCAAGGAAACAGGTTTACTGTCATTTGTTTAATTGTTGTTTTTCTGTGCTCTCCAGGAAACAATAAAGAGGAAGAGGAAGCCATGATGCAGGAGTGGTTCATGTTGGTCAACAAGAAGAACGCCCTCATCAGAAGACAGAACCAGCTCTCTCTGCTGTACGAATCCTCACATCCTTTTCTTTTTATAGTCAAACAAAAAAATTGTCAGTGTGTAGAAGCAGCTCTGGGACCTGTTTGGTATTTTTTCTGGAAACATCACACTAGTGTTTAAGCATCAGATCAAAATCATTGAACCTGCACCAGGAGGGAATGAACTCCCCACTCCATTCACCCCGTGTCTATCCACTCATTGATTTACATGTGGACGGAATATGAAATCAATAGAAATGTGGCGATCGTCACTCTATCGCTAGTCTCTTTGTATGTGGTCAGCTGCGACAGGTGGACACACACACACACACACACACACACACATGCAGGCTGCCCTTTTTTTCTTCATTCGCAGCTGTTGGGATTTCAAAGTGTGCGGAGAGGAGAGATTGAAGTATTCATAATCACATTATATCGTGGGAAAGGGGAGGCTTTTAAAGTGGCCAATTGACAGAAGGACTGATTATTAGCCCTTTCTGTTCTCTCTTTGTGGAAGCCAAGAGAAAAGACGCCTGTGAAGGACAAATTCTATTAGGGACTGAATTAGCTCATTTTTTAATATGGCTGAAAGAGGAAAGAATTCAATTTGTGCAGCACACACACACACCACATATACCCGTGCTCACAGGGCCACACACACTCTTTGCATGTCCATAGATATGCGTTTAGTTGTCGATGTTTTTCTATTTCTCCACCTCTCTTCTCTCCTCACACACAAACACACACATTCACCCAGGGCTGTGTATCAGTTATGTGCAGTAGATTAATGCGAAGCCGGAGAAGGTTCGGGCGAGTAGCTGAATCAATGTTTATTGCAGGTTTCTTTAAGTGCTTAATGATTTAGTCATTAACATATTGATGAACTTTGTTGTGTGTGTGTGTTTTTTTTTTTTCCTCTCTCTTGCCACAGGGAGAAAGAGCACGATCTGGAGAGACGCTTCGAACTGCTGAACAGAGAACTGAGAGCCATGCTGGCCATCGAGGGTAAGATACACACGTATACAAATACACACACACACACACACACTCTTGTAATGTCTGCATTTTTCAGGCAGGAGGATGAATATATATGTATTATCTGTTTGTGTACAAAAGAATCATACATTTGAACATTTCGTTAAATGTCAAACAGACATCCACCTGAAATAGTGAGGTTTGTTTGAAGGGGGACGAATTGATAAATATTCCACATAAAATTGTGACATGTTTGTGTCACAAACAGCAACAGATACGTTTTATTTCAGGTAAATCTCAGAGTTGTTAGAGTTCTAGCTGAGTGATTCGTCTTTCTCCACACGGCTCCTCCTCTTGTCCAGCGGTTGTCCAGCCTTCATCGAGAGCCTAAAGCAGGATGATTTGAATTCCGCGTCAGCTTCTTGATAAGGATTAAGATGCAAGCTTGCGAGGGATTTCACTCCCCTGCTCCATGATCAATGCTATCTGTTTCTTAGCTAGACCCGACTAGTTGAAGCCTGATTTGAAATCCAGCCACAGCCACATTGAGAGACGGTTTGTGTGGTTGAAAAAAAAAAAATGCAATTATATTATTGAAAGCTTGTTAACTATACCGCAGCCAGAAAAGCAGCCATTGTGTTGTATCAAAGTTGTCAGGGGGCCAGGGAAGTTTAATCCCCTTCGACTGCGTCCTCTTTGGCAAAATGAACCTTTTGCCAATCAATGCTAATTGATTTTACCATTCGACATTGACCACAGCAACCCCCTTCCCCAACCTCCCCCTTCTCCTTACAGCCTTCAGACACCCATTGTAATTTCACCGGGCACCTGATAAGCTACCTGGTCCATAATAAATCAATTGTAATTAGCAAGAAAGGAGGTGGGTCGGGCAGGAGGGGGTTGTGGGAGAATCGGACATGCGTAGCCGAGCAGGAGCTGTGGTCGCTGCCTGCGTCCAGGTTGATTTCCTCTGTTTTCGCTTTGCCATTTATTTATTTTTATTTATCGAGCTGCAGCTTTCTCACGTGAACTTTCTCTGGTTCATATGTCAGTGTGTTCGTATCGGCCCGCTCTCACTTTGTATGTGCCGTTGTTTTTATGTGTATTTTGTTGCGCTGAAGTGTATGAGCGTGCAAGTGTGGTATTGCTTTTGTCTTTTCTTTTGCGTTTGTGTGTCTGTGAGTTTTCTGGTGCTTCTGTGAACATATTTCTTTCTGTATCGAATGTGTATCATGTGTCTGCCTGCTCCCCTGCTCACTGTGTGTGTGTCAATGTGTGTGTGTGTTGGTGGAAGTGAGGGAGCAGAGATAGTGTGTGATGTGAGGTGGAGAGGTGGTGTGTGTCGTGTCACCTCGCTCCTCTCTGCCTTCATGTGGACTTGTTGGATTTGCAGCTGACTAACTTATCAGCCGGCCTTATTTTCCTCCCTAAGGGAGGCACTTAACATTCACAGGCTCTACCTTTCTGTAGCAGCCACAGATAGTTCTGAGCTGCTGGGAAGAGACGTGTGTCTGTGTGTGTGTGAGTGTGAATGTGTGAGTGTGTGTGTGTTAAAGAGAGAGGATCTGTTGGTGTCTGTTTGACTGCATCTGTGTGTTCGTATCTAACAGGTGTGTTT